GGGGCATGGGATACTATCTAGGGGTGGTGGGGGGAGGGGGCATGGGATACTGTCTGGGGGGGTGGGGGCATGGGATACTGTCTGGGGGGGAGGGGGGAGGGGGCATGGGATACTGTCTAGGGGGGATGGGGGGGAGGGGGCATGGGATACTGTCTGGGGGGGTGGGGGGAGGGGGCATGGGACACTGTCTGGGAGGGGGAGGGGGGAGCTTGGGGCAATGACGGTCGAATTAAACTGGGTTTTATTTCACATATAGTGTCTATGTATAATTACCTCTCACTTATCAATAATTGGGAATCTTTCCATAAACTGTCCTTGTCCTATTGCTATTAAGACCAATACACTTTTCATAACAAGTAATAGTTGAATCTGCAAAGACGACCCACACTGGACGGGGCCACGGAGATTATTACACGTTAGTCGGGACTTTGACAAAAATCAGGGTGGAATTTCGTATTTTTCGTTTCTGCTCATCTGATTTGGCGCTGAGGTTGTGTGCACCGTGGACCACTTTTCGAGTTTTTGAATGAATTTCCTTTTAAACCATTCTGCATCTGAGGACTGATACGATAAGTTCGTCCTCATTGCCTGACACTCCAGTCTAATGACTTTGATGAATTTAATCAAGTTACCGGAGCGATTCGAGACTTTTATTAATCACACTTTATTCATAAACAGACAATTTACTGAGGCGAGACTCTTCACAATCCTCAATGCCTGGATGATAGGTATGAAGTATACTGTGTCGATAGTAGAGGGTAGAGCTCTGTAACCATCAATATCTATTAAAAAAATGTTCAATCTCAGCAACGTTATAACTAGACCAGAGATTTCAGCAGTAGAAAAAGTATGAATGAGATTGTATATCTTTACAGCGCAGATGTATTTGACGCACGAAGACATGGTGAATTCAACTCTGTGGCAATATCGCCATGAAATTATCCATTCTCACGCTTACCTTTTTCTACATTTCTCGCAACAAACAATCCAGCAAACAGCAGCTATCCCAGCTATGAGTTTACCATCGGCCAATAATGATAACATAACTGAAGATAACCATAAATGCCTAAACCACAGGCCGAATGCACCTCTAGCAAAGATAACTCTGATCACACTTGCTACCCACCTTATCAAATAAACCATATTATAGATAAATTGAGGAAGGCAGAGATAGCCAGATAGATAGATAGATGGATGAATGGATGGATGGATAGATGGATAATGAGAGAGAGAGAGAGAGAGAGAGAGAGAGAGAGAGAGAGAGAGAGAGAGAGAGAGAGAGAGAGAGAGAGAGAGAGAGAGAGAGAGAGAGAGAGAGAGAGAGAGAGAGAGAGAGAGAGAGAGAGAGAGAGAGAGAGAGAGAGAGAGAGAGTGAGTGGGTAAGAAAGAGAGAGAGATGCGGAGAGAGAGACAGCTTCATGTAGGATGCTCAAAACAATAAATAAATAAATAATAACAAATAAATAAATAGAAAATAAAGTTTGCGTCGCTTGCCCCTATCACTTCCACTCCTTATAGTCCGCTATTAATATAGGAGTCCCTCACCATCCCCAATTCTTCATTTTCTTTCCAAATTTTCGAAAATTCGCAGATTGGATGCCGGTCCCACAGTCACAGTTCAGGCGAGGCTCACCTTCTGGTTTATACTCATCCTGATCTTGTGATGATAAAAACGTAAAATTTTGAAGTGCACGCTTATGTCCTTGCATAAGTACTTTTTTTCATTTCTATTTTTATTTCTTTATTGTTTCGCGGTTGGTATATCTGAGCACAAAACGCATAAAAAAGATCTTACAGGAATTCACTAACTGCAGTGTTGAAATTAAATATTTTTATCTTTAATTATCAGGGTTTTGATGTCCTTATTCTTATTTCATGGATAATGGATATCTTGTCATTTGATAATATTCTCATTTCATTAAATAATATCTAATATTTTCTAAATTTCAAAACTATAATTCATAATCGTCATTAATATAGCATCCGTATGAAACAATAGCTTTATTATTCTGTAAATGTAAATGTGAACAAAATAATTATATAATATTGTATATTGTATATATGTATATATATATTATATTGTATATATGTGTATATGCATATATATATATATATATATATATATATATATATATATATATATATATATATATATATATAATATTTTTTTTTTCTTTTTTGTCAACAGCCATTCATTCCACTGCAGGACATAGGCCTCTCTCAATTCAGTATTGAGAGGTTATATGGCAGTGTCACCCTTGCCTGATTGAATGCCCTTCCTAATCAACCGCGGTTCGGCGCATTGACACTTGTACCACGGCGGTGACTTCCCCTATATATATATATATATATATATATATATATATATATATATATATATATATATGTATATACTTATATATGTGTGTGTGTGTGTGTTGCTAATATCTGATAGCTGACAAGTGTTTATTACACAAGATAATTATTTTTGCTCAGAGATAGGATAATGACAAAGAATATATATATTTAATTGGTATCAAAATATATTCTAAATGGTAATTAATAAAATTCGACACAGATGATATTCAAGTTGATAAAACTCAATCACATCCCAAATGTAGAAAGGGTACCACTTTCAAATGATCATTCAACATCAATTCTAAAACAAATCTATATTAATACATCATTCGTTACTCCAACAAAGAGAAAAAAGTGTCATACCTGGACATTTGCTTTCGATGGCTCATTGACTTATTTTTCAATTGAAATTTAATGCAACATCCCATAATAATTTTCCTATCCTCATTAATTAGCTTTGAGCTTCATCCAAATATTTTAAACTGTAACCAAATTCAATACAACCATCACTCAACTATAAATTTTGAATGAAAAGTAACAGTAGGCATCTCCCTTCCGGCCTAACCATCGAGAGAGCGTCGGAAACAAAACGTTCAAAAACTTTGCTTAAACTATCGACATATCACTTTGTATCTCTTTTGAACTAAATGATAGCCTCGTCTTGATCCTCACATTTGTTTAAAATATAGGAAAAAACTTTTTAGAAAGATCAAACCATTAAATCATACAGATACGACATAACAGATGCAAATAAATCGTACATTTTTATAAGTTTAAAAAAATCGTTCCAGACATAGAATTTTTAGATTCCGTAATTCACTGCCAAATAATTACTACAAGCTATTTATAAATAACACAGGAAAAATAGGATTTGAGAGGATAAGTGTAACAGTGTGTGTGTGTGTGTGTGTGTGTGTGTGTGTGTGTGTGTGTGTGTGTGTGTGTGTGTGTGTGTGTGTGTGTGTGTGTGTGTGTGTGTGTGTGTGCAGTAAATAGATAGACAGACAGAAAGATGGAGAGAGAGAACTCTCCTGACGCGACGCCATCACGCGGGGATAAGCCCGGTCTCGATGAATTCATCGAACACCGCCAGGAACCGCGGTCGCATCAGCGGGTTCGTGTCGATCAAGTCCAAGGCCTTCTTCCTCAGTACCATGAAGACCTCTTCGATCTCCTTATCCTTTAAATCCGAAAGATCCTCCACGTCCTGCGGCTCCAGGAGGATGACGGAAATAATCATCATCATGAAGATTCCTCCGATCACATTCTTGCTCCGGAATTCCTGCAGGACTTCTGCCTCGCTGAGACGCCTCTCGGCCCATGCTCCTCCGGCCTCCATCACGGCGTTGAAGTGGCCTCGGTACGTCTCCAGGAGGGCGTCCAGGTTGGGCTTCCTGACGTCGCCCGTGAGACTCGTGTACAGGAGGTAGTTTAAGTCAGTGGCGAAGGAAACTCGTCGACACATCTGAAGGTCGACGAACATCACTGCTTCAGGTGAGCCGTCTTCCCTGTAGCTGTTGAAGAGGAGAGCAAATATTTATTTCGGCGACTAGCAAGCCATTGACACGAAATCGAACATTCAACACGGAAGCAATACCTGTCTCTCTGATACTCAAATAATGTTCGATTCTGTGTGGTATGTTCTTGGTATGTGATATGTTTGTACTGTTAAGTTCCGTGATGTAGGGGGGGGGGGGCATTTTTTTTATACCACTGCCGAGATGTTTACAATTATGAACGTAATATATCGTAAACTATCATGATCTTTATTACATTTATCATTATTATTTTTATCATCAATATTTTCATTGTTACTGCTGTTTCTATTTCTATTATTAGCATTATCATTACTATTATTGTTATAATCATTATAATTGCTACAACTACTACTATCGTTGTGGTGAAGGAATAGGAATAACTGCTATTGTCATAGTAGGAAGGTGGTTATTACTAGCAACATTACCACCATCGTCATCTTTACAAATATGAAGTTATGATTATTATTTCTCTTTACGATTGTTATCATCGTAACTATTCTGTTTACCTATTTAAACTTCCAATTTGATTATCTAAATGGCAGACAGACAGACAGATTACCTGAAGAGAAGGTTGTTATTCCACGCGTCCCCGTGGCATAAAACGTGGTACTTGCTTGGTTCCATTTGCCTCTCGAAAAGTTCTTGGAGTTTGGGTTTGAGACTTCCTGCCCAAGCAACAGCTGACTCGTATCCACCGATTTTATTCAGCATGGTTATAGCACTTTCTATGTGCTGGCCCAAGACAAAGCTCAGGTTAAAGGCGCCCTCAAACATACGCGCCCAGCCTATGTCGAGATATGTGCCCTTGAAGTACTCCGGCTCCTTCTTCTCCAGCAGAAGGGAGGCCGCGTGGAATTTGGCCAGTTCCTCCAGCACGAGGGAGGCATGGGCGACGTCCAGGCCCTTCCGTCGGTCGAACATCTTGAAACCCCGAGGCCTCAAATCCTCCAAGAAAATGAGTTCCTTCTTTTCCTCGACTGTGCCGTAGAAACACCTCGGCAAGGCCAATGGCTCCATCCCGGCTTCCTCTAAGACTGCGTTCAGCTGAGGCAGTAGTTTCACGTAGAATTCTACCTCCTTCAGGAAGACTTTGTGCGTCAAGTCTTCGAACGATTCCCGGCCGTG